GATTTCTGTGTGTAGATTTTGTATTATTTCTAATTTTTCATTTATTTTGTCATTTTGTTCTTGTATTGTCTTTCGAAATTATTCTAGGGCTTTCACTGTGTTTTCCTCAATCTGTCTCTCAATTTGTTGAAGATACCTAAATATAATTATTTTGAATTCTTTATCAGGGAGTTCCAATGCTGCATCTTCCTCAGGGATGTGTTTTGGATATGTATCCTGGTACTTTGTTTCTCCTGCTTTATCATTGCTTCTTTGTGTGGACTGTGATCTCTGTTGTCTCCAAGGCATTGTGACGTTTTTGTGTTTCTATTTAATTGGTTTGAATTAAATAGAATTAATAGAATTGTTGGAGTGACTTGCCCACGATTTTCGCTTTCTTTGTTTGTATGTTATCTATGCAAGCAGGGTACTGTGCTGTGCTCCTCTACTCAGTAGTTGACAGCACTTATACACTCACCACCTGTCTCCTTTCCTGTTGTCAACCTTGGCAAACAGAGCCTATTCTTAGGTCTCTGGAATCCAAATGAAAATCCTATCACTTTAAAATCCAAAATGGTTGCCACTTGTAAAGATTCAAAATGGCTGCACCCTCGGTCACTGTAAATATCTAGAATGGTCACCACTTGTAAACAGTCAAAATGGCTGTGCCCTCGGTCACTTTAAACATACAGAATGGCCGCTGCTTGTAAACATTCAAAATGGCTGCGCCCTCGGTCACTTTAAATATCCAAAATGGCTGCCATGTATAAGCAATTAAAATGGCTGCACCCTCTGGACAGTGGAAAGTCAATAGCTCAGGCTATCTCCCTCTTTGCTGTTTCCTTCTTAGTCATAGGCCACCACCAGTGCAGTTGTCCCTGCAGCCCTTGGTGACCAGGGCTGATCTTTAGGTCAATTTTCAGGTTCCAACACCACTTGGAAATATTCAGGCTATTGGTCCCATCAGAGTAGCTGACAGTCCGCAGCTCCGACCATCTCTGTATGCAATATTTTCGTTCAGGTTTTTCCACTAGTTGGTGCCTAATCCACTTCTGTATAGTTCCTTTCAAAGCTCAGGGCTCCAAGATTATCTTCTGTATCTCTGTATTGACAATTGATTTTTCTTTTCTTTGTTGAAGAGGATCTATGTTACTTGTCTGCCTATTCCACCATCTTACCGGAAGTCCTGTACACACCTTAGTCTTCAAAGTGATATCTTTGCTGCTTAAAGATTTTAAAGAGTTCTTTTGCAGCATGTTTGCCCAATGTAATACATAGTATGATTTCTTGACTGCTGCTTCCTTCGGTACCATTGCTTTTTGATTATATGATACCTCCCAATGTAAAAAAAAAAAGTATATATATATTTGGTATAGTGACTCTGTATTTTCCTTCCATCTTCTCTTGATGCTTTCTGTGTCATTCAATATTTTGCCCATAGAATCCTTCAACATTGTAACTCATGGCATGAATTTTTATTTCAGTTCTATCAGCCTGAAAAATTCTAAGC